GAAAGTTAAATACATATTTTTATAATTTACCGTTCATTGAGTAATTTACCGTGATATAAAAGCTACACGGGTAAATATAATCTTCATTCAGTGCCACAAATATTGCGTTGAGACAATACTTTCTTTATGACGAAGTTTACCTAACTATATTTTTTTTTTTTTACGGTAATATTATTAGCAAAAGAAATATAATTGCAAAATTTAAATTTAAAATGTGTTTCACGGTTTTTTATCGAAAATATGATTGCAATCTGAGTACTACCAAATTGTTTTTTGATACATTTTTGCTTGCCTTTTTGTAACTATTGTGTACTTGCATATTTTTTACACGTTTACTTTTTATATTGAGGTAATTTTTGTTGCAGTGTTTTCGACTAGATACTTATGAGTATTAAAAATATAAACATTGCGGAATTGAGTTAGTTATATTATTAGAACAATAATGTTTCAATTGTATACCTTTAAGAGCAATAAGTGATAGAGATGTGTACCGTTTATATATACGTACGTTATTTTTAATTAAATGACTCGTATAAGGGTAAAATAGTTTTTAACAAGCATTCGAAATTATAGAGTTCGAAAAACCTTAGTTTGTTGACTATCACTAATTATGTTTGTGGAATATTGTATGTAGCCAATTTTATGTAATCGTACGAACGAAATTACTGTTTACCAAAAATATTGTGTACATTTGATACTATATTATACTATATACTATGTTTTATTTCTTCTTAATGTTATTTATCTGTATTGAAAAAAAAATGTTTTTTAAAATTTAATTTTTTAAAACACCTTAATGATCGGTTTGATAACAGACTCATTAAATATCTGATTCAATAATTAAAAATAAAAAGAATAAAGAATAAATTTTTTTTTTTTTAATACTACTATGACGCTAAATGTCATAATAATTAAAATAAAAAATGCTGATGGTATTCAATCTATTATTTTTGCCACATCAATAATTAATTTAAAGATTAACATTTTAATTAATTTTCAATATGATAAAGATATTAAAACCATAGCGTTCAATATACATACGTCTAATAACCATTTAAATATTAAGAAATTACATGACTTTGAAAATGTTACAATTTCTGATACATTTTTATTGTGATTTATTATTAAATAATATAAATATTGTTTTATATTTTAATTTCATAATTTGTTGTAGTCAATGAGCTAAAATTTGAACATTTCGAATAAAATAATTTCGGGTCATTGTAAATCTATTACAGGTATAGTATTTGATGTAATATAAATTTGTAATTGTTACAATTATCAATGAAGATCAATATTTATTTTCATAAACTTTATAAAAAACGATATTTTTTAAAGAATATTTCGCTAGTTTTTTAATATATATCTTATTTTTATTATAATTATAATAATAATTATTATTATTTTATCTATAAAAGTATTGAAAACGACACTAGGTCGTTTGATTCGGTCAACTATACCATGATTGGAATATGTACTGTTTCTCCATTATGAATATTCACATTGCGAGTTTAAAGTTTTTAAAAAAAAATATTTTTATTATTTTTTAATATTATTTTTTATTTTTATTTTATATATCTCTATAATATACACTGAAAAGCAAAAATGAGGCCGCCATCTCATTGTCATCAAATTAAGGATTTTACAATATTCCGACAGCACGTATTACTATTTAGATATACGCGTGTACGTGTCATCATCGTTCGTAAGGTCGTAACCTACTATTATGAAAGAAAAACTTAACAAATAAGTTAAACAAAAAGACAGTATGCAGACGATAAATTACCGAGAAACGAAAAATATAATAAAAATAAAAGAGTGTTATTAGGAAATCGAAGAAAAATGATTATCACTCCAAACCATTAAATGCAATTTTTCCGACGGTATTCTGCGTAAATCAGTAAGTATATAAATCCGACATAAGAGTGAAGTTTACTCAGCTATTCACAGACGTCTGTATTACAGCATATACATAACATTTATTAACCAAATAATTTATAAATTACAAATAAACGAAATCTGACAAATATGTCGTTTGTAAATGTACAGAGGAAATTTTATTTTTCATCGAATATTATTTACGGCAAACGTGTCCAGTAGGTGTAATAATGATAATATGATAATATATACTTTGAGAAAATATTCAATTTTTTTCTTTGTGTTAGTTCAAAAGGTTTTCAAATGATTTTATATTAACACATAATAAACATTACTTAACTAAAAAATATCTAACCTTACCATACCAATTTATGGTAAAGTGCACAACAATAAATATCATATCGATAAATTGATTACGTTCTAATTCTATTTTATTTCACATGTCTAATGCAAAACGCATGAACAATTTGAATTTAAAGGCAATCTAACTATACTTCAACTACCGTACAAGATACATGGATGCATACGAGAAGCAATATGTTTACAAAATTATCTGTAGAGACGTTTGTATTGTTCATTGTAAGTTATAATCAAGCGATGACATTTTCACTTACACTATAATATTTGTCAGTATTCATAGCAACTAAAAAAGAAAAAATACACGGAAATTTGCATAAGTTATATATTCGTTACAAAATGAAATGTTTATAAAATCGAATATTTCAACGAACTTTGATTGAACTATCTTCATTTATTATTTGCAAATCTATAAACTTTTATTTTACTATCAAATCAGTTTTTTAGTATTTATATTATAACTTTAAAGATTTATTTTATTTTTGAAATATTTGAATGAGATTTTTTTCTGTTTATTGGTACTTGATATTTTTAAAATTTCCAAATTGTAGATACTTTTTTTTTTTTTTTTGTAAAAGTTAGAACATTAAAATTTCAACCTATCTAATTAAGAAATGTAGTTCAACTATTCTTAAAAGTAAAACCTGATCTACACGACCTCTTTCCCACAGAAATGTTTTTTTTTCGAGGGAAATGGAAATGGAACATTAGTTTGAAGTTTAAAAAGCCAACAAAATTATATAATTTACCTGCCTCTGCATATCTCATCCAACCTAGAAGTCACACTCCTTTTGTATATTATTGTTCAATAATAAATATTATGAGATAATGTAATTTATTGAATACACAATTTTTATAATATTAGGTAAAAAAAAATTAATGAACTATACATTACGGGCATACATTTTTAATAAATGAACATATGCTCGAATTATTATTATTTATAATTTTAACATATACTGAGTATTATTATTTTTATAATTAGCGATTAAATATAAAGTTATTACTTTACATTATTTTAACGTATTTATATATATATGTATTTTGCGGACTGTAAAAACAAGTAGGTTGTATTTAATTTGAATATAATGTTTCCATAAATCTATCAAGCTCGTTAAATAGAATTTGGCCAGTTAAAAAGCTGGTTTCTCGTCGCAACTATGTCAGAAAACAACAATACGAAGTAGAATTCACGGTTTACATATGAGCGGTGGGTTATTTAGGTCTTCATCGTTTTCCAACGGGTCTGTGGCCACTTGGTCGAGGCTCGCGGTGCAACGGGTGGTCAACGTGGAGGATATGAAATGGACGAGAAACGTTTAACCGAGGTGATCCCGCGTACCATGATACTCACGTCTGACTCGATTAATATTCTGAGCCAACGTAAGTGCACGTCTCGACATAATACGTATATTATGCCGCCGCATTTGGGGACGTTTTATTTTTATGTTATTTTTCCCCTTCGCATAAATTTCACCATCTTGTCACTACTTTTCTCTATCGCCCTTTCCTCTCTCTATCTTCCTGTCTCTTTTCCTTTCTCTCTCTAAAATTTTCTAGTCTTTGGAAGTTATTATTACGTGACGTAGTAGCCTAGATAAACGGATACGTTACGTCAAACTAGTGTTTATCTCATACCTTATATTCCAGAGGGTACCGTACATTTTCAAAGGAAGGTGCGAAGAAAAAACGAATTGTACAGGGAGTAATACTCCTATAGACACCATCCTCAAATATTCACTGCGTCCAGTGATCGCGTGTACGCAATTTATGCCACCACCACCACCATCACTGGTGACTTATACGCGAACGTAGTGTTGCACGCTCGAAAAGAAAATGGGTTGAAAATAAGAAATTGATTGCGCGTCCGGAGACGTTTAGGGGCTAGTGCTACGTAATGGTTTTTTAATGCGATCGCATTATATGAACCAACGACGATGATGGTGCCGTGGTGAGTGGAGAAGAAAAATAACGTACGCATGTACATGCGGTGTCCTCGTCGAATGAGCGTACTACGAGTGGACATCATAATGCTATTCTTTTGCACCGCGATATTATACTATGTCGAGATATCGGCGTACAGCTTCTGTCTCGTACACGTGTTGCCCTGGAGCTTCAAAATGTATCCCATTCAGCGGTCAACGGGATTAAAAATGAACAAAAAAAAACAAATCACATATACCTTATTTTACCTCACTCTTCGTTATACAAAAATCGTTTGACATAACGCGATTCAGGAAAATGTCGAAAATAAAGGGAAGCACAATCTAGTTTAATTAGGAAAGTTATTGTATTATAGACAAAAGTAGGATACTTATAATAATATAATAGTATTCGTACTACAAGCTACATTTGAAAATAAAATTCGTGGCTCGTGACATATTCCGTTGTCAAAGATAAGCCTTACCTCCTACAAGCGGATTTAAATATATCGTGGAAACTACGTAATTTCTTTCGCGTTTATTATAAAGCAAGTATACGATATCCACTCGTACAAGCAATTGTTTTTGCGACACCGACAAATTATATTTTATTGCGCATTTCAATATTTCACAGTTCACATTTCGTTCTACACATAGTGCGTAGTAGTACATGCAGTTTTAGATGAAATTTCAAAGCGCGGTCCTCGGATCATGGTGGCGACTAACAGGGGCGAAGGGTGAAGACAAATCATACTTGACTACGAGGACCTCGCTATGAGTGCACACCCAATGATCCTATTTGATCGGTGTTGTATGTTACGTAATACGGCCGCAAAGTCTTACCCGCGTTCTATCCTGTTTGTGGGCCGGTGCTCTGGACGCGTATCCTTGGGTGTGCGAAAAAAATAAAATACTAATTTCACACGAAAACTATTTCATTGTTGTTATTTAAAAAAAAAAAAAAAATAGAGGCGCCCCCCTTTAAACCGAACGCACGTGGCGAAAATCACGACGGGGAGAACTCGAGTGCGGTGCGGAAAACTACGAATGTCTCGGACTTGGACGCGGAGTGTTAACGGAATTGGCGAAAACCGTGTAACCGTGGTTAGTGTTCGGTGGATCGGGTCCGTGACGGTACTGAGCGAGCGCCGCGCGGTTTGCGACCGGATGGGGTGGAAAGCGGTGGCCAAACAACTGAGAGGGCGCGTGCGCGCCGGCCGGCCGGAATCGTGTGGCGCTCGAGCACATTATCATTACGACAACGCAAACATGTTAAAATAATACGTTGCGTACGGGTGGAATCTCGCGCGCGAAACGTTCTTGTCGACGCGGGTTTTCGTAGCACGTGTTCTGTACGATGTTTACCGTTTCGATTATATTACTGATTGGTAATCGGACGCCTCACACGAGGGACGTTGGTTGCATTGTAATTTTGATATATAAAATTTCTATAATAGGACGAAAACGTGATAATCTTCGACTAACCGGCGGCGTAACGTTCCAAGGAGTGGTCGCACGAGGTGTCGAAATTAAAACAATATTGTTAACATTGTTCTTCCATCGCAGATGTTCACGTATGGCCACTGCCATACAAATATTTAGTCACCGTCGAATTCCGCGCCGTGAAGATCAAAAACGTCTCGTCTCAATCGCCGCAACGAAACGAGCGCGGTTTTGCTGCATCAACCACATGTCACGTGTTCGGGGATAGTACGGTGCTTTACACCTGATCTTATTTATTTTCTTCTTCTTCTTTTTCTCCTCAGCTTACGGGTCCATTATGAACCATTGCTGTATTCAACAAATTTCACCATCCATCTTTAGTATAAATCATTGCAAAGGTTATATTTTGGTCTTTCTCTTTCAAATATTGGATTATTACGTCATGAGTTCTTCTTGTGGGCCTTGTTTTGTTCATTTTTCTTACGAGAACTTTTTTTTTTTTATAGTTTCCCAATTCTCTGCCAAAAATGTCCAAACCACTCCAGTGAATTTTTCCTAATAAACGTAGAGATATTTGATATGTTGTAAATTTTTGTAGTTTTTCGTTTCTTCTTCTTTAGTACCCATGATCTATTTGTTTCTTCCTTGAATTCTGGCACATATATGTTCCTAATTATTAATGTCACGAATACCATTAATTTTACTTCATTTCCTTCTGTCAAGACACATGACTCGCAAGCATATGTTATTACTGAAAGCAAATAGATATCATAGAAGCCAGTTTTTGATGTTTATGAGAGTAGTTTTAATATATTATAACAATACTTGTTCCTAAAACACGATTTTTTCATTCATCTCCTGGTGCATAATATTTTTTATATTGACATTTTATTATAAACACTCAAAGTTATCCACCACTTCAAATTTCATATTACTAACAAAAATATAATTTACATTCTGATTGTTCCTTGACATCTTCAAATACTTAGTGTTATTTGTATTAATATATAGTTCTATTAACTAACTTGCTTTAAACAGTTGCTCAGTTATTTGAACGATTTCTTCCTAGTCCTTCCTAACACTACAATATCATGGTTGTAAGCCAAAATCATTGATTTCTCAAAGTCCTATTTGTTTTCAGGTAGATATATACAAATTAACGCAAAAACGTATCCATACCAGACATTAAATAAACGAACACTTTTTTTTAAATCAATTTTGAAATTAAAATTTTCCTATTTAGATTGTACATCAAAACCACTGTACAGCGTCGTTAAAAGGGTTTCGTGATTATTCGGGCGTATGAGAAATATATACGTGGCCGTGTATTATATTCGATTATAATGAATTAAATAAACGATTAAGAAATAATTGTTCTCCACTTATTTATTGGTGAAAACTTGGGTTGGAGATAAAGATTTGAAATAACAGAAGTTTACCCCGTCACTGTTTGGGGTCAGTAATTTTGCTCGAAAATCCGAATTGCGAAACACCTATCTTTCCATCATCGTCCTTGCGTTTTCTATATTTAATTGGTCGTGTCAACATGCCAACACCATTTAAACCACACCTCCATTTATTACAGTGGTTCCCAATTCACGGCCTGCGAAGGTATATAATATACCCCGTTACAAATAAAACAAAACATTAAAAAAGAAAGTAAAACTACAATAAAATACGATTTTTTTTTTTAAATTTATCAATTTTACCTTCGAGCATTTTCAAATAGAAATTTCACAATATAACCCGTGTACTTAAAATAGCCTACTGATGAAATTAATATATAACTGGATATATATTGTGCACCTACTATGTGTAAAATAATTAAATTATTAAATTAATATTAGTATTTACTTTTATATTTGGTGGCCCGCTCTGAGATAATTGTTTACCAAAGTGGCCCGACGAGGAAAAAAAGTTGAACATCACTGTTTGTATCACGTATTTTTTATTTTTATTACTTTTATCTCTAACTACACCTTTTTCTTATATTTATTTGGATCTAAAGGTTAAGAATGCATGCATTTTGAAACTATGAGTTATCGATGGAATAACTGACAACTATAATATTTTTCCGAACGGTGAATAATTATAGACTGCGACACAATTGCATTTTTGGTGAGAATATTGGAAGCAGCAGCTATATTTACAAAAACGCTGATCGAGCATACTGTCGAACTTTGTAATATCGTCACAATAACATTTCAAACTTATTTACTGTGTTCATTTACACGTGTATAACATCATTGTTGTAAGCCCGTGGATACCGTAGTCCGGTGTCGCATTGTGTTTACGCATCGATTCCTGCCGTTATATAATAATATGAAAGAGAACTCTATAATATTTTTTTTGTTCGACGAACCGACTGCAAAAATTAAGTTTATACACCCACATTTTCAGCGAAGAATTTTATGAACCGAAGGACGATATACACATAAACACATTTTGCATCAGGTTTTGTTCTTTGTATTCCAGTTTGAAAAGTATACTGCAAAATAAACCCAAACGATGGCACTCACATTCTATTATGTGTTCAGCGATGGAATACGAAAACAAATAATAACATACATAAATGTATGATCTGAAATGTGTTTACAGTGCAATGAGAAAAAGGCGAAGATGTTAATTGTTTGCATTCTACATATTGACTCCAATTCGTTTTAGTTATTATACTTTGAAATTTTTCGCTTATTACAATATTTTTTTAATCGTCAATATTTTATATAAGGTACCATTCGAATTTATATGTATAATAAATGTGATACCTATCATCCTTGTAAGACCTAAAAGAATTAAAAATAATTCTTAACTATTAATAAAACTGACAGAATGAAATAAATGTATTTTGTTTACCTTTTTGTATGATATCTTTGGAAGGTACTCCAATTAATGTAAATAATTAAATTTAAGATACAAACCTTTTAGCTGTAATAATTACATTGATATTTTTGTTATGCATTATTATTATTAGCGTACTCTTCAGACATAAGGTTATTTCGATAATCTACTGAGTAAAACATTTTACTTATTACTTTATTTCATATTAAATGTTACTTATATCTATACAATTTTAAAGTAATATAATTTCCATAAAAATGTGTAGATTCATTCGACTGATAAAACTTTCTACTGTTCATCTTTAAGTGTATTACACAAATTCATACGATGTTTTATAAATATTTCAGGTAAACCATAAATTTTATATAAGAATTTTGATGCTTCTTTACGTGTTTCTAACTATTTAAAAGGAACACGAATTGAAGTTACATCAGCATCAATTAAGCAATCGAAAAAATCATATTATATTATTCTTTTTGAAGTAAAGTTCATATGTATCCAAGCTTTTATAATCTAATTTCTTTTAAAATATTTGACATATGAGTAGGTACATATAATTAGGAGTAATTATTAAGACAGTTATTCATTAACACTTATGACAAATACCCCACTAGAACCAAATAATAATAAACCGTTTATTATAGAGTTTTATGTTTAAGAGTTAAACAAAGTTCTTTGATATTTTGTAAGATGTTTATGTACATTGATGTTTTAGTTTCAATTATTAATATTTTTAAGGTGCCTCCCTCCTCCTTACAGTAGAGTACCCTTGGCGTAGGCCCTGATTGCCCTTTCATAACACTAGTCCTGCAGATGCTGTGTATGTGACACAATATTGTATGAGTGAGTATATTTGAAAACGATTAATCATTACGCGTCCTTTCAACAGATCGGGATAACGAGTATCAATATGGTAATATAAAAATACTATTCAAGGTGCTGTTTCATTCTTGTTGTACTTTCTCTGTTTGCGACATTAATGCCGTTTTTATTACGCCTATATTACAAACAGTTTACTTGTTCTGCTATAATATACTGGTGGTCAAGCTAGCAAACAGTGTAAGAGTGGGGGGCGATAAGGGTTCTAGACATAAATTAGATTTTGAAAAAAAAAAACAATCTAGTAACTGTGACACCAGGTAAAATTATAATTAGTATCCGATTTCTATGTATGTGCACGCGTCTAATTTTTAGGATACATTTACCGACATTAAATGCATTTATCGAAAATAATATTACAGCTGCACAAAATTAAATATGCTTAAGTATTGAAAAATATATTTATATATATGATAATTATTACTAATTGTGAATAATTTTCATATTTCATACTGCTTCATTTCAATGCTGTATTATTTTTGATATGTATTAAGTATTTAGTTAAAAATAAAATTTGCAAAATTTCAATGAATTTTCTTGTAATATTTTATATTTAATGCATAATAGTTTTAAGAAAAAAAAAATTAGTGAATTAAATAAAGTTTTAGAATGTTTTTTATTATTATTATTTGTATTACTATGTTAATATTATATAAACACTATCAAAATTAAATGCAGCTTTTAAATATATATACAAGAGTACAAAGTATAATTTATTAATTAATTTTAAATTATATTGTTTGTTGTAAATAAAAATAAAAAACAAATTAATCAATTTGATACAATATATATATATATATATATATATATTATTACATCATTGCTTGCGTTTAAAAAGAAAAAAAAAATTGTTTATGTTTACAATTGAAACGTTAAACAACTTTTGGGTTAATAGTTACTGAAAATTACAACGTTATGTAACTTTTGATTTTGCATTCAAAAAAAGTATTTTTGGTTATATATTTAG